CATTGTACAGGCGTCCACGGGCGAGCTGCTGCGCTGTCTGGGCGACTTCGTGTGCCGGCGCTGCTACCGCCTCAAGGAACTGAGCCCCGGCGAGCTGGTGGGCTGGTTCCGCGGCGTAGACCGCTCGCTGCTGCTGCAGGGCTGGCAAGACCAGGCCTTCATTACGCCCGCCAACCTGGTGTTCGTGTACCTGCTGTGCCGCGAGTCGCTGCGCGGGGACGAGCTGGCGTCGGCCGCCGAGCTGCAGGCTGCCTTCCTCACCTGCCTCTACCTCGCCTACTCCTACATGGGCAACGAGATCTCCTACCCGCTCAAGCCCTTCCTAGTGGAGCCCGACAAGGAGCGCTTCTGGCAGCGCTGCCTGCGCCTCATCCAGCGGCTCAGCCCGCAGATGCTGCGGCTAAACGCAGACCCCCATTTCTTTACGCAGGTCTTCCAAGACCTCAAGAACGAAGGCGAAGCCGCCGCCGCCGCCACCGGGGGTCTCCAGAGCGGGGCTGCCCCCGCAGTCTCCTCCGCCGCCAGGGACAGCTGCGCGGCCGGAGCCAAGCACTGGACTATGAACCTGGACCGCTAGGGACGTCCGGGGCCGCGCCCGCCCCCCGCCTCAGCCCCCCGATACACACTCGGAGCCCCGGGGACCATCATGCCGCCGCCGCCGCTGATACAGCTGCTCTGCGTCCCGCCGGGCAGAGAAGGAGCCGCCCCTGACCCGCATGGGCAGCCAGAGGCCCGGACGCCAGAGACTGCCGCGTCTGGATTTGCCGGGGAGAGGGAGAGATGAGCGCAGGAAGGGGACCCCCAGCCTCACCCTTTCTGTCTGCCTGCGCCCCGTGTCCGCAATGTACCCGGAGCCCCCTTCCCTGCTGTGCGTGTCTGTTGGTCCGTCTCGCCTTGGTTTTGCCCATTTTCTCACCTCCTTCCTGCGTCTTTATCGTTCCTCCTGTCTGCGTCCCCTTCTCCCTTCTGCCTTTCCGTGTGTGTGTTTCCATCTCCCTCTCGCTCTCTGCCTGCCTGTCTCCTATTGCCCCCGTTTCTCCTCCTGCACCTGTCTCGGCATCTCCCCGTCTTGGTCGCTTTTCCTCCTCTCCTGTCATGTGTCACCATCTTCTCTCCTGTCTGCCTTCCTTCCTCCGCCAGTATCACCCTCCATTTCTTCCCCCGACTGAGTCCCCATACCCACCCCCAGGACGAAAGGAAACGTTAGTTCTTAATTTGGACCGATTGGGGTGCGACGAGCAGCTGCAGCCTGGGCCCCCAGACACCCTCCAGGATGGTCCCTCACCCTGCCCCCGCCTCCTCTTCCCACCTTTTCCTACATGTTGCATGCTGGGAGTTGGGGGAAAGGGGGATGCCGGCTTCAGAAGGCTGAGGTGTGGGGCAAAATCAATCTGGAAGGCCACCCTGGGGGCGGCAGCGGCGGCGGCGCCTCAGCCGAAGGGTGGGAGGAGAAAGAAAACTCTTCTCACTCTGGGGGAGGGGCGCCCCTCTTCTTTATCCTTAGTTTTTTCCCCTTTTTAATTTATTTGATTGTTGGGGGGGAGGGGGAGGGGGGCCGGGAGCTGTCCAAGGTGCTGAGCTAGGGCCGGGCCGGAATCCTCCCGGAAGGGGACCAGGGGCTGGGTTGGGCCTGGGGCCTTGTCCAAGGTGCCAATGACGCGGGCCGACGGCGCGGGCCGCACTGTCTGTCTGTCCGTCTGTCCCAGAGGGAACTATAAAGCGCTGGAAGCGCCTGCAGATGGTTCTGCGCCGGCCTTTCTTTGGGCCCCAGGAGGGAGGGAGCGGGAGTGGAACTGTCATGGGCAGGGCAGGAGGGCAAGAAATGAGAGCCTAGTGAAGGAGGTCGAGTCCCTGAGAGCTGCTACTCTTTACCCCCTCCCCCAAGGTTTCCATTAACAAAGTAAAGTGAGGTCGCCTAATGTTGTGGCTTGGTGATAAAGCTAAATCCCTCCCCCTCCATCTTGTCTGACCTAGCCACTCATTAGTGCCCAGGCTACTTAAGGGCTGAGTGATGAGGACAGCAGAAGTTGTTTCCTTTCTGTGATGGGTCCCACTGAGGCAGAACTAGCTATCCATCATTGTTGCTTTTCTCTTCCTCCCCTCTCTCTTCCCACCCTATATCCGGTCAAGAGGTCAAGAGTTCAGTCAGGCCTGACTAAATTTATCACTCTCAGGTGGGGCCTGACTGCCGCCTTCAGCCCCCCACTCTCTGACGGGGTTGCTTCGGCCACACGCCCACTCAGGACAGCCGTGGGAGGTCCATCCCTGCTTGAGAGTCATCCCCTGCCCCTTTACCCCCAGGGAGAAGGGAGGCAGCCGGGAGAAGGGAACCATTTTCCGGGATTGGAGAACAGGATAAACAAACTATTCAGCCTGAGATCCCTGTTCTGTCCCCCGTCTTCTTAGCCACATGCCTAAGCGCCCCTTTCACTGTTTCATTGGCCAGGGAGGCCTGGCTCGAGCAGGGCGCTCCGTCTCCGACCCTGATCGCCGCCTGGGCGGCCAGGATCCGGGGAGAGAGCCGGGCGGGGCGGCAGAAACAATGCCCGGAATCGCTGTCCGTGGTGCTGACGGGCTTCCTCCGGCAAGGTAGGGGCTTGCAGGGGCAGCGTGAGTTGCGGACACTGCCTCAACTGGGTCTTCTGGATAATTTGGGAATTGGGAGGGATTTATTCTGGCCGGAAGTTACAGGAGTCTGGTCGGAGAACCCAGGAATGTTGGCTCCCACTTGCCCTCTTAAAAGGACAAGACTCGACTCTCCCCACGCCTGGACCTAGCGTCCTTGCACCCGGCCTGGAGCCGGAAATCCCCAGTCCAGATTTGCGAATAGAGTTCGGGGGGGAGGGGGAGGGAGAGCTGGCGGAAGGAAAGGCGGGAACAACCCCCCATTGGCTGGAATTTGGCGCAGTCAGCGCGGTGCCGTCATCTCTTTTGGTTTGGGAGGAGGGAGAGGAGGAGCACACAGGTCACTCCGCGGCTGTCGCCATAGTAACCAGACTGAGCTGAGCGGGCGGGGCCCCCTCTCCACTTTCCCACCTCTTGCTGGGGAAGCAATCCTACTCGGCTTTATTTGGAGCTAGTTAGCAAGACTAACTACCTGGTTAGAATTTCTGGGTTAGAGAAGCTCAAAGGGAGTAGAAAAGAAATGGGAGAGCCTATAGAGATTCTCAAGCATCCTGAGGCCTTCGGAGACAGCCCCTGAACCCACAGGCACAGCGCCCTTCGTTTACTACACACACACGCACACCACGCCACACACAGCCACTACCCTCCCTCCACCCCAACTCGCCTCCAGGAACCTGTGGCCTGGCGCTTGGAGACCTAGAATAAGAAAAGAAGTCTCCCTGACTGGTGTCAACTCTCACTTTCCTTGCATTACTCCAAGGCATGAGACACTGCCCTGATCCGATTAGAGATGAGGACTGGAGGAGGATCAGCATGAAAACACCGAAGACTTAGCCTCCTGGGTCAAACTTGGTCAGACTCCGGCTTCTGAGGGAGAGCTGGGTCCCAAGGGTACCAGGAGGAGAAGGGCTGAGAACTGTCTTCTGAGAAGGGAGGGGGAGAAACGGAGTGAGAAGCCCAGCAGTGAACCTGGGGAAAGAGAGTGGGGCTGAGGAGGGTGGGGGCGAAGTGGGCACAGAGCTCTTGAGAGAGCCCAGCAGAGGTGAGGGGTGGCCTAAGAAAAGGATGTAGCTGAGAGATGGGAGGCGGAAACTCAGCTGGAGCCATGACTCAGCACTTCGCATGGAAAAGGGCTGGGGCGAAATCTGCCAGCACACGGACAGGGGAGAGGAGAGGGGAGCAGGAAAGCGGATAGGTGGATAAACGGCGAACATGCTGATACACTGACACACAACAAAATGCACACATTTTAACCCAAAGACAAGCACATATGCATTTACATCAATGAAGGTTCATCGAGTCATAACATACACGCAATTCTACTCTTGCCTCTGCCCCCTTCCTGGAGCAGAGGACATTCTGTCCTGAGAAGTGTGCTCGCCTGTCCCTGAAATACCTCAGTACTTACTGGGAAAGGAGAAATGAAAAAAAAAACAAAAAAATCACAGACATGTGGGCTGGGGAGTTGTCATGGCAACTGCTTTGCCAGTCGGGCAGTGTGCCCAGCAACCAGAGCATCTGGCAGGATCCAGGAGGATGTCCTATGGCCTCTACCCAGTGGGACCCTGCCTCGGGTGCCCAGATGGGCACCTCCAGAAGATTTCTACAAGAGACTGCTGAAGCAGCCCCTCCAGCCACACCACCAGCACCAGGAATAGCTGGCAGCTGATCGAGGATCTGACTTTTTCCGTGTGCCCCACTTTGAGCGGTACTCCTGAGCCCTTTATACAACATGCTGTTGTTGTTGGGTCCCACCTTTCTCCTGCAGAGCCCTTGGGTGGGTTCAAACTGCCAACCTTTCAGTTAGCAGCTGAGCACTTAACTGTTGTGCCACCAGGGCTGCTTGTATACACCGCAGACAACATTTTCTGCCAGTGGCCTCAAGGCAGCAGGAATGAACACTTTAAAGACCTATTTAAGATGGTTAGCTTCCCTCTCAGCACCTTGCAACACACCCTACAAAGAAAGTCATTTATACCCACACGGCTAGATGTGTAGATGAGGGGTAGAGAAATTGTTTTAGTTCAGTGTGATGAAAGACTAGGTATGCAATAAAGTAACTGCAGGGCAGTCTCTGCGTTCAAGTTCCTCTGACGTTAGTTTAATACATTAATGAGGTTTTTAGAGGTGGGTGCCTCTGTTGCACTTCGAGACAGGCTGGTTGACTTTCCACCCCAGTTATTTTTTCTAAGTACTCAGGTTTAACATCTTAGTTTCTGCTTTAAAACCTCCCAATCCAGTTGTCATTTTATGTTTTTTTCCTGGATTCTTCCAACTGTCTCTTTAGCAATGAACTGCTCTCAAAGTTTCTTTTTCTGTTTGAAGAAATTGCCCGCAGTAGTTACTCCCCTTTTCCCTCTCTTAAGACTTTCCCCCGTTTTCATTCCACTCTCCTTGGTCACAGTTTCCTGTGATTTATTTAGCATTGAGCCCATAAATCATAAAATTATGTGTGCATTTTTATATATGATAACCTAAAAGGAAGAAGGGGTAATAATAAACAATATAAATAGGGAAAGAGATACTTCTTTACATTACAACTTTTGTACACATTACTTCTTTAAAAATATAGTTTACATATTATCCCAGAAAAACAAAAACACCAAGAATAGCCTAAGAAAGAAGAGTAATGCTGGAGGGTTTTCCATGCCAGATATTAAAATGTATCACACAGCTAACGTAGCTAAAATATGTCCCACAAATACAGGAATAGACGTATCAGGAAAACAGAATAGATAATCCAAAGTTAAAGTTTGGCATACATGGGAATTTAATATATGATAAAGGCCCCATCTCAAATGTATTGGGAAAAGATAGATTAGTCAGTAAATGGTTTAGGGACAACGGGTTAGTGATTTATAGGGAGAAAAAAACATCCATCATTCTTCATTTTCACTCCAGAATAAATTTCAAATTGATCAAAGATTTAAACAAAACAGGAAAAAAACTATAAAAGCC